CGACTTTGGAAAGTCATATTTTCAGTTTTTCTACTAACTTTGCCATATTTCAGCCAAAAATTTCAATAAATACCAATAAAATCAATAGAATAGTGCACAAAATAATTATTATAGAGCAATATTAGCACTTTAATGAGCAGTTTAGAAGGTCTTTGAGGTGAATTTGGCACATTTAGAAGCACAATCTCTGTCTTGGGTGATTTTTTGACACCCCAAAATAAAGCAAGAGCTTTAATCAACTTTGACTTCATTCTATATGTTGCCATCAGCATTTTATGCTTATGTGAGGAGGAAAGGCAAAAAAGCAGTAGATGAATTGGAATGGATTACAAATAAAAGGGAAAATTGCTGCATGCTCATCATCATATGGTTGCATAAAGCGAAAAGAGAGAGGAAAAGAGTCATTGAGCGTCATCGCGATGTTTTGTATTAGATCTCAAACTCCGGTGCACATTCTAAGCTCCATTGCGTGCGTGATAATGCGAAATTACAGACTGTGTGTGGGACTTTCATAATGGGGCGAAATATCTGATGACGCGGAGTGGAAAAAAGTGGAGCTCGCGAGATGATGATCGTCAAAAAAAAAAGAGCCACCGGGCGCGGGGGAGTGTCCGGTGGCTGGGGCGCTCTTGTGCATGCCAGAGAGAGGGACAGAGTGTGCGAAAGAGAGAGAGAGAAGTCTATGTAAAAATGATTACAAGGTGAAATTCAATGCACACACATATTTTTATTCTTCTCGGTATAATTCAACAATATTTCAATGAATCGTCTGAGAATAAGATTTTTTTTCGTGTTGTATATTTGCTGGAAATTGCAAGAACAATACACTTTTTTCCTCTCTCTCTCTCTCACCATCTCATTTTCAAGTGGAGACTCTCAATTATTACAATTCTTTTCATATATATATATATATTTACCATTAAAATTCAAAAGACTTTTCTCGCTCTGTTGTCCAGTTTCTTTTTAATTATTTTCCCCCAATGCTTTGGCTCTCCTTTGGAGACAATTTCTCATGCACACGCCGGTCAGTTTGTGTTGTTTGCGGAGACACACAATTTATTGCGTTCGCCTTGAAGACATGCGCGATTCTTTGGCGTGCTTCTAATGCAATGAGAAATTTCACTCCTCCCCATTACAATATCTTATTGCAAATTACACATCAATTGTCTTTCCCACCAGAACAGTCGCGTTATGATATCGTGTAATTTTGTCATGTGATGTCTAATTTTGCTAAATATATTTAGAAAAGGAGAGAAAAGAATGGAATAATGGCGAAAAGAGAGAGAGAGAAAAATACGGTGGAATTTTTCGCAATAGCGACGAGTGAATCGAAAACTATGCGAAAAGTCGATTTATCATAGTTTTCGTCTTATGAATTTTTGAAAAAGCTTTTTATTATAGTATTTTTATAATAGTAAAAAATCTCATTTATCTAAAAAGCACAAATGGGGAAAAAAATTGTTCTGTTTTGCTAATGAAAAGTCGAATTTTCATTGTTTACGCTAAGAAAAATGTCTCAGAAATTGCAGTCAAACGCATAAAACGCCGTTCAAAAAATTAATTTTAAGTTTTTAGAATCATCCTAAAATGTTTTTTAGACTTTGAATGATTATTTCTCAAATCTTTTCAATTTTTTCACATGAAAACATGAAAGAAAATTTGATTTTTTAGAACTTGTTTGAATAAAATTGACTTTGGAAAGTAATTTTTTCAGATTTTCCATTAATTTTGCCACATTTTAGTCAAAAATTCCAATGAATATCAAAAAAATCAACTAAAATATTCACAAAATAATAAATAAAGAGCAATATTTGCACTTTAACTGACGATTTGAAGGCGTTTTGAGGGTTTTGAAGTAAATTTAGCTAATTCAGCAGCTCTATTAGCAATAGTTTTCTCAGCACCCGTCGAATAGAGAAACACTGAGAGCAAAGCGTCGTTCCTTATTGTCCTAATGCTGTCTAAATTGAGTTGTTCGCTCAAGAGGAATGATGAACTTGCGCACATCAATCAGAGTTGTGCGTGTAATCAGGCTGTAAGATCCATGAATTAGTTGTAAATTCAAGCAGAGGTCGCGCGCTCATTGATGATCTCCACTTAATTGATTGCAATATGGGTGAGAGATTTAATCTGATCGTTAATTATTCCAATATTCCACGAGAGAGATCATCTGTTCTTCGGCTTCTTCGGCTGACCTTCTCTCGCGCTGCTTCACTCTTCAAATAAACATGCCATATTGGGCTTCAGCTCAATGAAAAATACAGACAGTTTATTTTATCTCGCAATCCCCACAATGCAATTACATATCGCCATGTCTCTCGTGAAATGATTCCAATCCAGTGGGAATGATGTAAATTCTGATGGTTGACGATTTTTTTTTTCTCCACTGTCCGCGAGCGGAAGTTTACAGAGTCGCGCGCAGTCATAAAAGGTGGATATTAAGTGTACGAATGTGGCAATAAATTTTTCGTGTTTTAAGCCTCCAAATCAAGCCCTTGCTGAAGACTTTACATTTTTCTCTCTTATGTCAACATGTTAACTGTGGTTTACCTTTGGCTCCAAGAGTTCAGCGAGAATCTTTTGGGATTTCCCACCACAGGAAGTTCATCTGTGTAATAAGCTCTAAGTCAGGCGGATGCTTATCTGCCTCGCTTTTTCATCTCTCTCTCTCTCTCTCTGTTCAGAAGTGAAGAGAGAAAAAAAGTGTCGTGCATCTGATTGCATAACGTGTGCATCAAATTATGCTTTTCAAATGGCGAGACGCGCGCGCGCGCGAGCTGAAAAAGGAGGACAGAGAGAAAACCTCTTCAATTCATCGCCAATTCCTAGAAAAATTCTACAATCACTCTCAAATGTAATATTCAAGAGTGTGGTTTGAGGTTTGAATTCTCGCTTTATACGGATTTTCCTCCACTCTGTGTTTCGTATTCTTTCTCTAAACAGTGCCGAGAGAGTCAAACAGAGAGAGGGAGAAAGAGGAAAAATGGGGAGGTCAATATGCATTTCAAATTGTCTCCACGGCTATGTTTATGTATTTTAAATATCTGAATGGCAAAATTGGCTGGGCAATGAATAAATTTAAATGACATTTACGTCTCTAAGCGTGCCTCAAAATAAATGTCATCTTCATTGATCCTCTTCTGTTGGTGCGCGCGGATTCTCTTCGTCAATTTGCCACTGATCTTCGATGAGTCGTTGCAACATTACAATTTTCATAGCTAATATTGACGGTCGCCCGGCGAACGAGAAGGCGATGCAAGGCAAAGAAAGAGTTTATTTGATACGAATTTTAGCTATCATAAAGTCATTTCATTTCGGCTACTTTTCAGCAGCAGAAAAGTGCGAGATTTGCTTCTTGAGACTGAACTTTCGCACAGTTTCTTGCCATTTTTCCTTTGCGTGGAAGTTAGGAAATAACATTCATTAACAATTTATCCACAATTGTTCGCGACATTGGGTGTGGACAAGAACCTGTAGATTAGAATATTGCAACTGGTTAAGAATCTCCTGTCCACACAATGCATTGACGACTTCGTGAAAAATATCTGGAGGGCGAGAGAGAGAATAATGTTATTAGAATCCGGTTCGAAGGACCAGATTATGTGGTCAAGCACCTGGAGATATAATTGAATTGATAATTAGATTTCTCCCCGTGCAAGTTCAATCGTTTTCAAAACATCAATGTACTTATTTATCTATTTATTTAACTTTCTAACTCACTCCAATTCACTTTGACTCCTTTTACATTCGAGTTTTTCTCACCAAGTCACGAAGCGGCGCCACCTTCGCGGCATTATTGCAGTACAAGAAATAGTCATTCACATTGAGTGTGTTTCCAGTGGGTTTCTTGAAGGATTCTGCTGGCAGAAACCAATAAGTTTCCCTGGAAAGGGTCGAAGGATGTCTGAAAAGACATAACCTCAATCTGGTGCAATGAAAAAAACCAATAAATTTGTGTTTATCTACACACAAACAGCAATTTATTGTCTATTTCCTTGGTTTTTATGTGAATTTTCCGGCTCTTCTTGTCTTCACTTTATTAATAAATAATATGATTCGTAATCTTGCAACGCACTTTTACGGATTCATATTTTTGACAGCTTATTTAAAATGTTATGAATGTAAAGTTGCAACGAAGCATAATTTTTTTGCTAGAATTTCTAACACAATTCTTTCATCCTTTTTCTTTCCACAACAACAACAATCGAACAAATATTATTTTCACACCACAGGAAAAAAAACGTGACTTCATCGGGGCGACAGAATCAATAAACAATAGAAAATGCGGGTCTTTCGGAGTTTCCCCCCCAACATTATGAGTGGAGACGATGGCACAGTATTTTAATTTGCAGAGGCAGTTGTTTGAAGCATTAAAAAAATTTAAATAAATAACTTTTCTAAACCATGAAGCCCAAGATAAAAGTTCTCTCTCACACAGCGCGCAAACTTCCAAGTCATATGCAAACAAGAGAGCACTTTCGAGAGTCACTTCTGTTGAACATTATGGTATATTTCAATACTGTGTACAAGCACATGAACATGTCCATATAGACCTGGAATATAATAGATAGTATTGTTAATACACTTTTCCAAACCTCTCTTCGCCGCCTCATAAATAAGGCTGGTATTTCAATGGATCGCGCGCGCCAATGCTGGAGAGAATTGAAAAATTTATCAGAAAGTTCCCACAAGTCCAATGAAGAATGGGATGGAGTGAGATGGCAAAGCACGTCAGACACCTTAAGTTGCATTTACAATAATTAAAATTACTCTCCACACCCCGCGCCGCGCCATTATACATAATTCCCATGCCAATGAGACGTCAAAGTGTCTGTTGAGCTTCTGTATTCGCAAACTTGAGTTATTTCTTGCCAATAAATCAGTTAAATATTGTGGTTTTTTTTCTACTTCGCAAAGATATTTCAATTTGTAGTTATTGAACACTTCACCTTAACATTTTCTAGGGAAGATTAACTAATATTCTTTCACTCTTTTTGCAGTCTCAAGAGCCAAATGTGCCGATTGACGACAGTTGGTTTTGGGAGCCGGACAACAACACGTCCTCGTCATCGTCGAAGAATGAGGAAATCCTCTCGAAGTCACCGTCCGGCGGTGACTTGACCATCATTCCACTGGATCAGTCGAGCGATGCCGACGCCCAGGAGCGCTATCAGAAGCGAATTGACGACACGGAGGCGAAGCTGAAGAAGGTCAATTTCGAGAATGCCGTGCTGCATGAGAAGATCAAGCAATTGACGGGGGAAAACAGGAGTTTGAATGAGAACATCGACGAATTGGACAGGCAGAACTCGATGATTGTGGACAATTTGCTCGGCCAGAAGAATCAACTGCAAGAGAAGCTGAATGAATTGAAGTCCTCAGCAGAAGATCTGCCCAAAGTGAGGAAAGAACTCGCGGATTTGACTGCCAAGCATGAGAAAATCGAGAGCGCTTATGTGACCAGTGTGCAGGAGAACGTGAACACCAAGGCGCAAATGGAGGCCATCAACACAGAGTTGCGGAGGGCAGTTTGTGAGAATGTGGAGCTCGTGGCGTCGATGGAGGTGAAGAATGACGAGTTGAGGAGTCTCTTGACGGAGAAGGATAAGCTGCAGCATGAATTCCAGGACTTTTTCGTGAAGATGAAGAGCGAGAGGGACAATGAGTCGGCAACGGTGAAGCAGTTGACGGATAAAATCCAATTCCTCGAGGAGGATGTCCAGAAATCCACAAGTTACTCGGCAGAGATCAAGGAAAAGGTGGTGGAATTGAGTGAGAAACTGCAACAGGAGATGCAGGAGAAGCAGACAATTGAGCAAGAGTTTCTCGCCTATCAGGAAACTGTGCGAGAGTTGAAGAAAAACTCCACGGATTCCCAGAAGCTGGAGGATCAGGAGTTGCAGGAGATGAAGAGGAAATTCCCGGTGATCGAGGAGGAACTCAGGCAATCCAATGAAGCGCGGGAGATGGCAGAAATCGCACTGAAGGATTTCCAGGATAAATTCAGAGCTCTTGAGATTGAACACAAGCAAATCAACGAGGATTTTGTGGCTCTGCAGGAGGATGACTTGAATCTCCAGCGGGAGTTTAATGACCTCAAGGAGAAGTGTCGCAGTGTTGAGGAAGAGAAGCAGGAGTCGACGTCTCACTTCCAGGGATTGGAGGAGAAGCTGATGCAAGCGGAGAAGACAATGCAAGACATTGCGAAGAAGTATGAGGATGTTAAGGTGGAGAAGAGGCAGATTGAGCAGGACTTTATTGCCCTCCAGGAGGATGATTTGAATCTGCAGCGGGAATTCCATGGCTTCCGCGAGCAGCAGAATGTGGAGAATGACAATTTCCAGAAACTCTCCGAGGACAATAACAATCTGCAGCGTCAGATCATCGATCTGCAGTCGAGGATCAACAGCAGGGATGTTGAGGATGTTGTTGCTGTGAGGATTCCTTCCTCAGCCGTTCAGGAGCTGCTGAAGAAGTATGGAAATTTGTCGTCTGACGCAGATGATGTTCTCCGATCCCTGGAGGACTTTCTGAAGTCCTCGCAGGACACGAAATACAAACTGGAAGCTGTTGAGAAGCGACTCGCCGAGGCGTTCAGTGGCGTCAATCAGCAGAAGGAGGAGATCCGGAAGTTGGAGCATGAGAAGAAGACCATCCAGGCGGATCTGATGCACTATGAGATCGAGTGCAGTGAGTTGATGAAGAACAATGAGATTCTGGTGCAGGAATTGGAGGAGATCAAGTCGGGAAAGCTGGAGACCATCCAGGAGAACAGCGAGGAAACCGTGGCGATGCTGGAGAAGCAACTGGAGGAGTGCAATAGCATCAATCGCGAGCTGGAGAATGATTGTCAGGCGCTCAATAAGCGTCTGGACGCGATGGAGAGTGAAAGGGAGGAGATTCTGCAGAAGTTGGGTCATCTGGAGAGCCTGGAAAGTGAGGGAAATCAGAAGATCAGTGAGCTGAAGCGTCTCGTGAGTTCGCTGGAGAATGAGAAGTCAAATCTGCAGTTTGAATTGACGGAATTGAGTGTTGGGGAGTCGAAGGCGTCCCAGGATGAGGTGGAGAAGCTCCAGAAGAGAGTGTCTGAGCTTGAGGAGCAATTGAGGGAGAAATCCCAGGAGGTGGAGAAGATGAGCGGCGGCTTCGATGCGCTGTCCAAGGAGAAGAATGACCTCATCAATCTCGTGACTGTGAAGCACAACGAGAGTGTTCAGTATCACGCGGAGATTCAGCGGCTGAGTCAGCTTCTGCAGCTGGAGATGACTAAGGTTGTCGCCTGTCAGAAGTGCCCAGAGATGCAGCGGATGTTGCAGGAGAGTCAGGCGGCTGTGGCGCGAGTGGCGGAGCTGGAGAAGCTGCCCGATCAGGTGGATTGTCTGAGGCAGAAGGCGGATCTGCTGGCGAATTCGCTGCTCACTGAGCAGCAGACGGTGAAGCTGCTGGTGAAGGAGAAGCAGGAGCTGCAGGAGGACAAGGCGGGTCTGGCGAAGGACTGCGAGCGGCTGAGGCAGCATCTGCTGGCCGTGGAGGAGGACCAGACCGTGCAGATGATGGAGCTGCAGCGCCAGGCGGAGGAGTACAAGAGCAAGCTGACGCTGCTCGAGCAAGAGGCCCAGAAATCCAGCACAGCTTACACCTCAGCCAGGTAAATATTGATCTCTGTCCACCCATTAGTCAGCGCTTTATCTCATGATTGCGTGAATTTTTGCGTGTGATTCAAGCGGAAATTTGGGGTGTTTTTTTTATTGCGAAGAAACTACACTCAGAGAAATCTGATTTGAAAAGAAGCAAATATTTTAGCTGAAAAAATGCTAACGATCAGCGAAACTCAATAGCGTTACAAACAAAACAATTTTCTGCATTTTCCTACTGATTTTTCGCTAAATTTATTGTTTTTTTTCTGGTCAGAACTTAGTAAGGAAAAAAGAAGTCCAATTTGCATGGACTTCCCCTCATCTGGTTTCCTGAAAGAGCAATTACAGACTTGCTGGTAATCTACGAGAGTTGGTTGACGCATCAAACGCATCTGATCCCTCGATATATCGATTTATAATCGATATTCACAGCTCAAAATACACAAAATGGCGGTGGATCTCTTGCGAATGATTTCGTGGACTCTTAAAATTATTAAATTCTTCCGCAAATCTTCCATTTTCGCAAGTTTATCGCAAAATTTCACGCTTTTTGATGAAATAAAGAAATCAATTGGGCGAAACACGAAGCAAAATTGTCGCTAGTGTCGACAAAGAAGAATAACTTCTGAGTGTGAACAGCGCCAGTTAAGATCTTAGCATCATATGCTTGCTGACCATTTATTGACTTTGGTCATGCCTGAAAATTTGATTTAAAAAAAAACCTAGATTAGGCGTGGTTTTAATAGAATCTAACACCTTTCCTCAACAGTATTCGAGCTAATCAACATGCAGAAACCCTGCAAGCTCAGTATATGTTGCTGTCGCAGCAGAGAGATGAGATTTCGGCGAAGCTGAGTTCTGCTGAAGACAGAGAATCGAAGAATCAGGCTGCATTGATAAATCTGCAGTGCGCTCTTGAGCAATTCCAACGAGGTTTGTCCAGTCTTTCTCTGGCTCTGCAAAAGCTGGCTTAGAAACTAGAATCTCTGCTTCTGTCTGTTAGATAAAGATCGTGATGTCGAGGCGACGACGTACAGAATTAGAAAGCAACTCGAGGAGGAGCGAAAAGCCAACGAAAGCATTCTGAATGAGGTGAAGTGTCTGCAGAGTCAACTGACGGACGCCAAAACTGGTCTCTTGGCCGCTTCGCGGATCTCAGATCAGTTGGAAATGAGCCAGGCAAGCCTTTCCGCGCAGCGCGAAGAGAGTAAGTTGGGTGGCGATTGCGTGGGTGTTGAAATGACCTTCACACAGTGCCTTCATCATGCATGCACCAAGAAATTAATCTTAGGGGATGTTTTCTTAGTTGTTTTTTTTTTTGGTTTTTAACCCTCTCTTCACCACAGAATTCTCTGTTGCTCTTGTTTTGGCAGCAATTGAAAGGCAAATATCAGTTGGTAATTCTGGGTTGAATACCATTGGCAGTCCCGGAATTTCAGCCGATATTCGTTTTTTAATTGTTTCAACATTATCTTTTGCGTTTGATCCACACAAAAAAGCCCAAAAAAATAAACAAAAAAATCTCTCGGTGTCATCAAGGTTGCAAAAAAAATCAGCATCATCAACACAGCAAAAAAAAAAGAAAAACACATCACAAAAATCCTTAAATAAATTGTTGTTTTTTTTTGGTGGTTTTAGGCTAAGGCGTGTGTTTTGTGCTTGTATTTTTTTTTTATTCGAGTGATTTCGTAATTTTTTGCACATTTTGCACTCACATTTTAACCATTTTTTTTTTCTTGTTAAGAATTGTTTTTGATGATAAGAAGTTTTGATTTGTGGTTTTCTGCACTCTATATTTGTGGTGGATTTTGTTTGCATTTTGTGCTTTGACGAGGAGTTTTTATTATGATTTCTTGCCTTAGCAATCCTTGATTTTTGTGCTGCATTTTGTCCTGGCGAGCTTAGGTAAATCTCAAATTGTAACTGTGCGCAGATTTTAAGATGAGGACACACGTTGCAAATTGGGGTTGCCCCGTGCTCGTCATTTTCGTCGTTTTTTTTTTTTTTACTTTCCATGTGTCGTGAACGAATTATTTATTTATTATTATTTTTACCACTTCATTCTGTGCATTATTGTGTGTTCGTGTGTGTTTGTGTGTGTGTAAAATTTCTGCGCATCGTTTTTCTCCTGAGTGTAGAAAAAGTCTCCCAAAAAAAAAAAGCGTTAGGAGAGAACAAAGTTTTGCTCCTCATTCATGAAGAAAAGAGAGGAAAACTGTGGGTTTGAGCAAGTGTTTTATTCAGTGGACTCATTTCAAAGAGGCTTGATTGTTGTGTCTTTTTTTTTTAATATAATTATTTTAATTGTTTGTTGATTCAATTGGGGTTTTCCAACAACCGTATTTTGTGCCGTCTCGAGAGGAATTTTTCTGTTTCAATACCGCAACAGTGTTCTTTCGTGTAACATTTTTCCGCGGCTCTGCGGGCGAAGAAAAAAAATCGCTGAACAATTCCACTCATTTTTAATACACGAAAATACAGTCAAGAAAGTGGCATGAATAGTTTTCTTATTCGTGATAATTTTTACGCTAGTTTGTCTTTTTTTTCATCCTTAGTGAGAATGCCAAGATTTTTACATAGTTTAATATATTTTTTTCTAATTGGTTTCTTGCGCCCTTAATTGTTTCATTTCCAGTGCGTTTTATGTTCTTTTACTGACACCTTTAGATTGAGTATTACATCAGGTACTGGTGTGCGTATTTACCTCTGACCAGTGCTTATGTTATGCTCTTTCTAGAGACGTTACAATCTGCATGAAGTGCATTTTTGATGCTCCTTTTATTTGCCCATCTGCAATTCTGCGCAACTCAAAGGTTTTTTTCCAATGTGTTTTATTTTTCTTATACTTTTCAACACGTTTTTATTTGCATTTTTCTCCAATTTATTGCACACAATTTGAATCTACAATAATAAAGTGAACTGTAAATGAGATCAAATGCTTTGTTTTTGCAGTGGAGAAACTCTTGGAGAAGTGCTCAAAGCTGGAGCAGAAGATTCACGACACGGAGACAAATCAGGCGGACAAGGTTGAGAAGACGCTGATCAAGAATCTCGTCATTGGCTACGTGTCGGCGCCGAATCAGGGTGACAAGTCGCAAATCCTGAAGCTCATTTCAGCCGTGCTGGATTTCAATCAGACGGAATCCGACAGGATTGGCTTGAAATCATCACAGAGTTCAGGTGAGAAAAAAAAAACTTCAGCGCTCTTCGAGGGTTGCTCAAGTGAGGAATGAACGAACCATTTCACATGGAATAATCAAGAATATCCAGGAATATATGGAATATGAGTCAAAATCCAAAATATTCAGATTTCAAATTCATCTGCTTCACAAATATCATTTTGCGGGATTTTTGATGGATAATTATTTATTGGGAAACGTTAAAAACTCCCCAAATTTGCTCATTGGTTAAATTGTGATAGGAAAAAAAATACCAGAACAGGAAAATCTGTGAAAAAAAATTGCCGTGAGCTGGATTCGAACTTATGAACGCAAATGTGCGAAGGAAAAAGACGCGAACATGCAATATTAGCAGCTTTCCAAACGAATATTGTGAAAAATTACATTTTAGACTTAAATAAGACTTCCCAGGAGAAGTTTCAAGCCCGAAAATGGACATAAAAGTGCTAAAAAATATATTATGGGAAATTTTTTTCTCTTTCTGACAAAAAAAGCAATTTCTGGAAATAATATTTAGCGTTAGAGAGAGTTTGAGGCAGAAATTGAATGAGAAATGCTGATATAAAGTGATAAAGTGAAGGAAAATACTCGAAAAGGGAAAGAGAAGTGAAAAAAGAGTTGTGAAAAAATCGCAACTGCAGGAGAATTGAACCCGCGACTTTACGATCTTGGGTTAAATTCTCTTATAATAAGAGCTGAATTAGCGCTGAAACTTGTGGAAGTCTTTCTGTCTAGACGATTTCAAAGACATAAGTTCGAATTATCAGAAATCGGAGGAATGAAAACCACTTTTCTCTAATTTGAGCAACCCTCGGCGTTCTTATTGCAAAGCGCCTCTTTTATTGACTAGTGGATTTCGGTGTTTATCTGCAGATGAATCCCAGGGATTGGCGCAGGCGTTCGTGAAGTTCCTGGAGAAGGAATCGCAGCCAAGTCAGCCGCCGGCCAGTGGATCTCTGCTGAACATCACGCACGGCGCCACGAGTGCCAAGAAGCCTCCAGTCGCTGCCAAGGCGCCCGAAGTTGAGCCTCCGCCGCCAGTGCAGCCGATTCTCCTGTCCGACAACATTCTGCAGGCGCTGTCGCCGCCGCGCAACTCCAGCACAATCCTCAAAGACATCCTCAACGACACTTGACTGTAATTCTTCAGCCGCACTTCCAAACACCAGGGCGAGGGTCTTTTCTGCTATCATGTAAATTAGTCTTTTCTTTGTCATGTTAATAAATTCTACGCTGATGGTTTCAAAAGAGTCTCCCAACGTACTTCCTGTCCTTCGTCGCGAGATTCGGCCACTGCACGACGAACAGGTCTGCGATCCACTGCAGGATTCTGCCGCTCAGCGAGAGACTGCGCACGCGGCAGAAGCTCTCCAGGAAGATGATGCGACAGGGCTCGCGAAACGGCCACAAGCAGCCCAAGAGGAATGCCACGACGCAGACGGGAATGCACGTTCCCGGACCGTTGCAGAGCACCAAGTCGGGCTGGAAGCCCCACACGACTGGGACGCACTGTAGCGTGGACAGGAGTGTGGAGAAGATGGAGCTGAAGAAGCTCTGATGCACATTCCGGGCGCGGTGGATGCGCTGAATGTAGGGCTCACGAGGATGCTCAATCTCTCTGGCGCGCATCTCGCTCAGCTCGTCTGTCGTGTTGCAAACATAGCATCTTGGCGTGTACTTGGCGAAGTCCATCAACTTGATCACTTCCGCCAGCTCGGCAGAGTGTCCTCCAGGCCCCAACACCACCATCAGTCTCGCGGTGTTGCTCCTCATCCGGGGCCGCCTCTTGTAGCAGCGCCGGATGCGCAAGAGGAGCAATAAGGTCGGTGGGATTAAACTAAGCAAGCATATGGCGAGGAGATCCTCCAGGAAAATCGCTAAGGTATACATGATTGTCGGGAAGACAGCACAACACAAAGTTCTCTGTTATTCTTTGGTTTTTCTTTAACTCTAGCACTGTACGATTGCAGTCTTTTCAGCCCCAAGAAGAGCAAGTCTTTGTTGCGAAAATCCTTCTTTCGCTTGCTCTTTGGCACTGCTATTCACCACTCTTGTTTGCCACTTCTTCGTCACAGTGGCGTAGTGAGTTTTCGCGGTGGAAGGGAAATTGGCTGCGTGTGAAATTAGAATCTTCACTGTCTATTTGCTGCATATCTGGCTGTTTTCCGAGCTGTTATCTCCTCAGAGGTCATGAATTCCTCACTTTTTCCACAGCAACTGGTGGATGATTCATCCACCAGCGCCTCTGGCGAGTGGTGAATTTGGATTGCATCACTTTGGGACAGCCGAAGTCGCATGTCCCAAAATCTTCGCGGAAAGATTGTCAAAAACGGTGCGAACGTCAAGAGTGCAACAGCGATGAATTTCACAAGACGCAAAAGTGATAAAAATTATCTGTTTGGATGCACTTCAGAAGGTCCCAGTGATTAGATCTTGTAAGTTGACTGTCCAGCTCTTGTTTATGCCCGGAATTCGGCACAATTATCGCCCTCTTCCCTCCGGATGGCTCCGATTCTGATGCTGCGTTGTCGCAATTTCAGGTTAGATTTCTCGTGACGTCACATCGTATGATTCAATTCTTGTCTGCGATTGGCTGAAAGTGGACATAAGATTCTCGCACGGTGAAAACACGCCACTCTTATTGCGATGATGGAAGATCCGGGCGATTGGATGAACTTCGGCAAGATGGACATGGACATCGACACCTTCCGCGCCGACGGCTTCGACTTCAGCCAGATCTCCGATGAGGGTGAGTTTCTGGGCTTTGTCTTCAGCGCTGGGATTGTTGTTCATCATCTTGTCTGGGCGTTTCAGATCTGCTGCAGATGACGGACATTCCGAACTTTGAGAATCTCGAGCTGCCGGACAATGAGGACTTTGGCACACTGTCGCCGCACAGCGTTGCCTCGATGGGATCGCCAATGAGCCAGATCTCCAGCAGTGGCGAGGACGCCAAGGAGTCCCCGTCGCCGGGCATCTCTCCCGCCTCTCAGGGCTTCGTCTCGCCACCACAGCCCTCGCCGCAGCCCGTGTACAGCGCCCTGATGCCCTCAGATCCTGTGCTCGGCGCCAGCTTCTCCCCAGTTCCGCCGCCGGCGGCCACAACGACCGCCACGAGCGTCAGCGTGAGTCCCATGATCGTGACGAAAGTCGCCCCAGTGCAGCAGATGTTCACCACGCCGCAGAACACACTCATCCTGGCCAAGAAGCTGGTGAAGCAGGAGCCAAAGACGCCGAAGATGCAACAGGTTTCGCAGGTGTTGACGCTGCAGAGCGTCGCCGTGTCGGACAAGCCTTCGGTGCTGCTGCAGACGAATCCCAGTGTTGTCTACTCCACAACAGCGGCGCCGGGGACTCTGGTGCAGGGAACACTGCTGGCCACAGGGATTCCCGTGATGCTGGACAGCGAGAACAAGATTCCCATCTCCAGATGGTCAACTGGTGAGTTTGTCTCTTATTGGATGCTGTTTCTCTGTCACACTGACGCGTTTTCTTATCAGGAAAACCCAAGGAGGGAAAGAGAAGCGCTCACAATGCCATTGAGAAGAAGTACCGACGCTCCATCAATGATCGCATTGAGGAGCTCAAGACGATGATGGTGGGCGAGAATGCGAAGCTCAACAAGTCCGCTGTGCTGCGGAAGGCCGTGGAGACGATTCGGGACATGCGTCGGCAGAATGAGAAGCTGAAGGCGGAGAATTTCATGCTGAGATCGGCGGCGAAGGATGCGAAATCGCTGAAGGGACTTCTCCTGACTGGACAGCCGCAGAAGGAGGAGTACATCTCGCGCTCGAACCTGATGACGCCGCCGCGCAGCGACGAATCCAGTCACTCAATGTCTCCGTCGCCGTCTGAGGTCTCCGGGCCGCCGTCGCCGTACGAGGAGCACATCAAGGAGGAGGCGCCGGAGGAGTCTGAGCTGCTGCGCAGCGTGAAGCGCGGCATGACGGCGAATTCGCGGATTATGCTGTGCATGGTGATGTTCGCTGTGCTCACGGTGAATCCCTTCAGGCACTTGCTGTCCAGATCTGGCGGATCGGGAGCCTTCTTTGGCGACGACTCCACTTCGGCGGGCCGAACGCTGCTCTCCAACGATGACTATGCGGACTCTGAGCTGTCCTGGAACTCCTTCGGCGGCACGCTGCTGCTGTGGCTGGTGAATGTGGTGATTGCGTGGTTCTGTCTCATCAAGATGCTCGTCTACGGCGATCCGGTGCTGAGCAGCAAGTCGAAGGTGGGATTGGAATTTGCCAGGCACAAGAAGTCCGCCGAGGTGGAATTCAAGGCGGGAAATGCGACTGAAGCTTATCAGGAGTACAAGGAATGTCTGCAGATGTTTGGCTTATCGCTGCCGACATCGCGCTTGGAATGCTTCATGGCCAATTCCTGGCAATACATCCGGATGATTCTGCATCGCTTGTGGATTGGACGGTGGCTGAGTCGCAAGGCGGGCGGATTGTTTTGCCCCGTGCAAGCACGCACGGAAGCTCTGGCGTCAGCCAAGGAAATCTCCCTGATCTACCACAGATTGAATCAACTCCATCTGGCCACGGACATGCAGGACAACCACGGATTGCTGCTGTCACTGTGCGCAGTGAACATGGCTGACGCGGCGTCGCAGCTCATGGCGCCGGATGAACTCATGGAGATCTACTTAACGGCCGCGCTGCGCGTCAAGCAGACTTATCCGCGCGTCCTCAAGTTCTTCTCGCGCTACTACGTCAGCAAGGCCAAGGCGGAGCGTCTGGCGGTGTGTGGAAATGTTCCGGCGAAGCTCACGTGGCAATTCACAACGTATGGCTATCGATACTTCCTCAATCACACCTTCCGCTTCGGCGGTTCTGGGCTGAGTGAGGAGTTCAGTCAGCTGGAGAACAAGTGTGATCCGCTGGCGTTCGCCACGCGCGAATATCGCGAGCATCTGCTGAAGAGAGCGCTTCAGTGCCTGGTCGGATGCGGTCCGGCGTCTTCAGGGACGAAGGCAGCGAAGCAGACTTCGAACTTGATGACCAGCTGCACGGGAACACAGATCTGCGATGTGCTCTACTTCACGCAACTCCTCATTGACACGCTCAAGAGTCCGGAGATGGACGCGCTGGGCGATTCCGTGACGAATTGGTGGTGCAGCTTGATCAGTGTGGCGGCTTTCTGGCTCCTGGGCGAGGATGACAAGGCCAAGGATCTCTACAATCGCGTGAATGTGCTGCCGAAGGTTCTCAAGGAGGCCACAGATGAGCTTCCATTGGCGCTCCTGGCGGCCTTCATGGCCAAGAAGAGACTTCTGTGAGTCAATTCAACCGCTGAGATTCTCTGAATCTTCTTCTGACTTCTGCTTGTCCTTTCTTGTGCCTTTTCAGGGAGGAAACTGTGAATTTCTCAGATGTCTTCAATGAGTGTTTGAGAGGAAGCAAACATCTGCGAACGAGTTTAACCTTCAACAAGTGCAGCTCAGCCAGACAACCCACTTTGGTGAGTAATCTTAACTCGTCTTCTTCCTCTCTGTCTTCAGGAATTCTGCCGGCTTCGCTTGGCGGATCGCGTGGGTGCATTGTAAAACACTGCACGTCTTGAGTTCGAAAGCTGCAGTACTTCTACAGTGCAACCCTCGAGATCTGCCCACTCATCCCAGGCTGGCCAGGAAATTCTCCAATCATCTGCTGAGTCACTCATGGAATCGTCTTTCTAGCTGGTGCAACTTCTGGTGTGCGATTGGCTGCTGGAATCACGCACGGCGCTCTGGGAATTGAGTGTGAAGAATGTGCCCAACTACACGCCAGTCTGTGATGTCACTGTGCGTCACTTCCAGGAGGATTTGGATCTGCTGCGTCTCATCACGGATGGGAATCCGGTGAGTTTTCTCGGTGTTCTTTCAGAATCATTTCAATTTATGAATTGAAATTAATTTTAGAATATTTCTGAGAAGTTTTGAAGCTGAATGAATTGGAAAACAAAGAGTTTCCTGGTCGATTTTGAAGAAAACACAGATTAAATGACTTTTCAATCAATAATCATGCAATTTTGGAACAAATTAGTCTAGTTTTGATTTACAGTAGCGAAAATTTAGGCCATTTTTACTTTTGGTGCTAAAAAATCAATATTTCTTTCAATTTTCGAGATAATTTGATTAGGATATGAATTAATTAGAATTTTATGGTCTTTAAAATGGCGTTGAAATCATGGCGATATTTCAATTCTATGCTGATATATTGAAAAATGCAGAAAAAGCTGCGTTTACAGCAGCGAAAATTAAATTAGGACACTTCTTATTTTGCTCTAAATCCACATTAAATCATGAGTTTGGAATGTCTAGAAGACATTTCCATTATAAAGCGCTTTGATTTTGAAGTTCCAAATACTTTATCATAATGAAGTTGGCTATATGTAACCAACGCCCTCTGTCGCCCCATCTTGCTGCGTCCCCTGTTCCTCTAGGTAAAAGCACTGCTTCACTCCGCGATCACGATCCGATTGATTGATTCGCGCGTTTCTCAGCGTCACTGTCAAGTAATGCTAACAGCGAGGATCGTATGAGAAGGAGAAGGCCGCCATGATAATGGCATTCCCGCCACAATATCTCCAGTGTTTTGCCAGTTCATAAAGGGAATTCGACATATAATTTGGACTTGTTAAATTGCTTTTTGTATGTTTTTAACTACCGTTTAACGCTTTTGTACCATTTCTTCCGCACAACTGCGGCCCAAATCCTTTCACAGGTTTTTTTATGAAGTGTTAAATAGGAGCTCAAGTTATTTGTCCAAGAACAAACAATTAGTGAAAATTACAGCATTTTGCTCGTTAGAAAGTGTAATTTTTTAGTCAATTTAGACAATTAGAAGATGAAAAGATCAATAAAACTGATGTTTTCCGGGCTTTCTTCGCAGAATGTGCAGCAGAGAGTGTATCTCTACGAGGCTGTCTACCGGCTGATGGCTGGCGCTTCGCCGGGACGCACGCAGGAGTTGCTGGATCGCACGCTGAGGCATCGCTCCAGCAAGCCGTCGATCATCTGCGGCAAGGATCGCAGCCAGCAACAGTGGGAGAGTGGCGAGAGGCAGAAAGCGGCGGCACTCTATGTGGCCTGCAAATACCTGCCGGCGCCGCTGCTGTCGACGCCGGGCGAGCGCGCCGGGATGCTGGCGGAGGCGGTGAAGAGTCTGGAGAAGGTGGGCGACAAGAAGCGCCTGCAGGATTGCTACAATCTGATGAAGTCTCTGGGCAGCGGAACAGTCACAAATTGAGTGTTTTTACTTTATCCATTCTATTCATTTCACTGTGTATATCCTTATCATTTCTATCACGGTTACTTTTGAGACTAAGTATTTCATTTTGCGTTGAACCTTGGGAAGCTTTAAGTGAATTTTATTTGATATTTTGTACTTTGGATGAATATCATCTGAATATTTTCTATAGATTAAGAGAGAGAGAGAAAGTGAGAGAAAGAGCGATCAATTATATTTATCCGTCAGATTGACACTAAAGAAACATAATATTTATCTATTTTCCCACGTAATTGACTATGAAAATTGTCTAAAATTGATTAAAATTGTCTAAAGAGAAGCAGATTTAAGATGAATTGTTGTAAAATTGCACTTGAATTGCTGCAAAATATGTTGAAAATCAAGTTGTAATGCAATAATTGTAGATAAATATTGAGAAATTTTCAGTAGTTTAGTGAGAAAATTACTTTTCTCTCATCCCGCAAGAAAAAAAAACCTAGAAAGCTCTGTAATGTATGACTTTTCTTAGTAGTTTAATGTCCTGTTTTATCCCCTTGTTTTTGTAATAAAAGCCACTAAAACTCAAAAGCGAATTTATGAGTGAGGGAAATTAAAAGTAATTCCTCTGTTGCGCCATAAACACAGAAAATTCATTAAATTCTCATTTGCAATCTGTGTGTTTTGTTGAACTGCATTTTCGCCAAGGCGGAGGGACAGTTTTTGTCCATCTTGGCACTGCCGGAGGGTGAAAATGCAGAAAAGGAAACATTTTGTTAATTGACTGTGATATTTTGTGACCTGTTTTGCTGACAATTCGCACCGAAGGACATACGCTGAAATGGCCTCTTTTTGTGCACCACAAAGAACGAGAGAGGATAATTCTTGTTCTTGCGTCGCAAAAGAGCAAAAAGAAATCATTACAGGCCAAAGTATGTGTGGGATTTTTTCTTCTTTCTAAAGGCGATGGGAAGTGCTTAATCTCTTCCTCTTCTTCTGTAGCCTTTTTGCACACACAAAAAAAGCCCATGGAAAAATCGGCTTTACAGCAATTTTGTTAAAATGCTGCTGAAGAAAACACACTTTCTCTATGAATGAATTTTAATGGGATTTTCTCCAACTTAGAAGGCTGAAAGAAAGTGAAGATTCCCAAGTGACACAAGGATAATCAGACCAGAAAATGTGACAGTTTGTGTAACACATTTTCGAGTCGCGGCCGTGATGAAAAATTGGTCGTCAGATGACTAAGAAATAGCAGTCATGCGTCACGTGTTTTCTGTGCCGTTCGCTGAAATCTCCTAAGCGCATGAAGCGCCACCATCTTGAACGCATTTCGAGGAAATCACATGAAAACTTTTGCACTTAATATACAATTAATTAGAGCCTCTGGCATCGATTTATCGAGTTCTCGGATAATCTTATGAATAATCAATTTGATTGGCATTATCCAAACTCTAATTCCTCGGTCACCAGGAGGAGCCCGAGTGTCAAACTAGCGGAGATAATATGGTCAGAAGTGGTGTACAGATCTGTAGAAGTTTAAGGAAGTGGAAGTGTTGCAATTTATGCAAAATTTCGCTCACAGCTTTGATTTTCCACTGATTATTTTACTCTCAGCAATTAATTTCAAACGAAGTTTTAATCTTTGACATGCTTTTCTAGGTTATGTGACTGATTTAAGACTTAAAAACATTTTAAAGTAGAAATTCTTGAACTGAAAATGAAATGAACGGAAAATATTCTCACATTATTATGAAAATTGTGATTTTAGGAAACAATGCTAAAGTGAAACATAACCTCATTGTTTTTCTTTAAAAAACTGTTGCGATTTTGAGTTAGAAATAAAATATAAAAATAGTGAAGAGGATTATGATCAAGAAATTTTGGTAAAAGTGCCATTTAGCGAAAGAAAATTATCAAATGTTATGTGAAAACGTGAATTTTAGAAATGACAGTTAGATTTCGATCATTTTTCGGGTAGATTTTAGTTAGATTCCAGTTATGAGTCGGTTCTAGTCTTGTTGTAATGGTGAAAACACAGCATTTTGCTCATACCATCTCGGCTCGGTCCCGTTAGATTCCCTTCAGAATTTTGGTCTGCAGATCAACTTTTGGCGCCTTCACACAATCCGATTTTCTCCACAATTATGACTCATTATGGACGAAATCATTAAATTTTTGAGTTTTTTCCACAATATAAATTCATTTCATTGACGATTTTCTCCATTTTCCATATCGACGGGTGAATCGAATACTATGAAAAGACGAAATCGCCATTTTTCAGAAGAGCGAATTGAAAATTTATTTCCAATTTCGCTGCAAAATTTACCGAATTTCACCTCAAACATTCGCGAATCGTTCATTAAAGTGATAATAATAGGTCTATATTAATTATTTGATATATGTATTAGTTTATTTTATTGGTGTTTATTTGAATTTTTACTGAAATATGGCAAAGTTAATAGACACACTGAAACAATAAGTTTGCAAAAGTCGATTTTTAATAGTCTTCAAGTACATTTCATATGAACTAGTTCCAAAAAATCGACTTTTCATACTTTACATGTACTTTTCTTTTGAAGTTCTCATTTGAAAAAAAAATTGAAATATATCATATATTATTCCTATTTAAAGTCTGTATGTTTTAGAAAAATCCTGAAAATCTTTAAATCGGAAAAAAAAGTTTTATGCGGATGATTGCAGTTTGGGACACATCTCGGAATTTTTGCCTCGTCCTCGATTGAAATAATTAAGTCATAAGAAAAATGTGTTTCAAATACAATTTGTTATTGCATATTGTCGTTCTCTTCTCACTAATTTTACAGTATCGCGGCATTGTTTACTGGTTCATTTGTTATAAGGTGATGTGTCGTAAATTATTTAAAATAAATTTTTGGATAGAAGATGTCACAAAGTATACAGGATAACTATTAAATGTGATGAAAATGTCTCATTCCAAATTTATTAAATAACGACTTTTCACGCGGATGTAAAAAAAATGTACAGCGTAAACTATGGAAAGTTGACTTTCCATAATTTACGCCGCAGCGCAAGAAAAATTTCTACATTTGTGCTTTTCGGATAAAGTAGATTTCTTAGTATTGCCTCTTAAGATAGAAGTCTCAAATTTTTTTTAGTGACAGAACAGGTCAAGGACTTTCCAAAAATACATAAGACGTAAACTATGAAAATTCGACTTTTCATAGTATTCGATTCACCCGTCGATATGAAATTTGTCTATTTTGACCATTTTGACAGCAAGCGCATTGTCAGACACGTCAAAGTCAAATTCAGCGCGGGTTGCCCAACGAGAAAACTGCAGGCACACACTCGACATAAAAATGTCGTGAGCAGGAAGGAAAATACACGATTCGTGTGGGGAAGAAAGAGATGAACTAAAACAATTGTCCAATGACAAAAGCTGTGTTTTCACCATAAGCAATCCATGAAATCTAAAGTGTTGGGAAGTGTTAGGGATTCTTTATACAGATTTTAGACATATTATCTTCCGCTTGATGTCAACTTCAGGGCCGATCGTGTGTGCTAATTCCCGGTCGGAATCGAGTCACATGAGTATTCCATATGACCGATAAATGTATGCTCCACAACCCAGAATTGACCAATTTTTGGGCATCTTTTTGTAGTCGTTCTCGACTTGCCGCGCTGCTTGGGCGCGAAAGTGTCTTTATGGAAAAATGGGGATTTTGTTGCAGAATAATTCTTCGGTCAATTAGTCAACTATTTTTAACTCCTGTTGTTTTTTTGTGCTCTGCAAAGCGCACACAAGTTGCGAAAAGTGAAGTTCTGGCGATGTTTTTCATCAAAACCTCCTCGTGTCGCTCTTCATTTGGAATTCCAGCGCACGCAGAATTAATGCATTCTCCCGAGGAAGTTGCCGTGAAGAATCCCAAAGTATTTCCAGCGCCAAGGGAAGTTCCCGGACAGAGTCGCGCAGCATTTGACGGGAAAACTTTGCAGACCATCATGTTAATGTGACGAAGAGAAAATATTGTATATTAGTTGGTGGGAACGAATGGGAAAACTTTATTCAGCATCTTCCAGCGTGTGTTTGTGAGTGTGATGAAAAATAAGGATGAGAATTGAGTCAATCCGCAGCGAACTTTGGGCTCCAGCTGAAAGACGATTGAGGGAGGAAATTTTGGGGAAATTGAATGAGTATTACGTGTCCTGGGAAGAAGGAGAGGAAAAAGAAAACTCCTCTTGCACTTCTTGCAATAAAGCTAGAAATTGCGAATTTCCCCGAAGAAAATTCCCACAGCAGTGTGTGAGAAGAAAATTGTGCCGTCGTCCTTGCGTATCCTTTTCGCGTGTATATGGATGAGTTGACATTCCGCTTACACCTCACGAGGATTCCCAGGTAAACTTGCAACTTCGCCATCGTCACCGAGGGAAATTCATGGATTTCATAAATTAAACTAATCAACTTCCACGTAGTTTTCCCCACTGCTTCAACACACACAGAGAGAGAATGTCTCTTGAGATGGTGGATTTTTTTCATCCCCCACGTTTCGCCTCAATTGCATAACACGCGAATTGGGAGGAATATGAATAAGGAAGCTCGCGCGCGAGTCTTTGAGATCGTCGTGGAAGGAGTTCCGCAATGTCTCTGGAGACTTAAGAAGACGCCAAGTGCATCTATTGCTCTGCAATTGCCAAGTCAACTTGGTAAATTGTTATTTTAAAACTCCTTCATCACTATGTTTTCACTCAGAAATATTAATTTCACTCCACATTTCAATGCGGTAAGAGAAATATTTTGATGGGAAAAATTGCACGCATATTTCGACAGTCTTTCAGGCGCTCTCAAGAAATTAAACAATTGTCATTCTTGTTGAATTACAATTTGTACAATTGAATACTTGGAGAAAAAGAATTTTTCATTATTTTTTCTAGGTTATGTCATTGATTAAAGACAAACTTTCTCACTAAATAACCTACAAAATCATTCAATCTTGCGCCTAAACTGATAATTTACATTTACCTGAATAATAATAATAATGAAATCTGATGAAGATCACAAGTTTTCAATGTGAAACTCATGTTAAATATGCTAAGATTGATATCATAACCTCTAAAATATTGTTTCAGGATACAAAATTGTCTATTTTGAGAACAGTTTGATTGATTTTCTACTCTGAAATAGCAAATTTCAGCTCATTTTCGATGTCTTATACGTTTTTTCAAGGATTCTTATTGATATTTTAAGGTAATTTTTAGGTTATGTTCCAAATTACATCCAAAAAAGTGACTGAAAATTGGATAACATAAAAAAAATCCACTGGAAACTTCAAATATGTCTAAAATACTGTTTCTCCGTAAGTTTCCAGAGGCACGCAAGTAAAAATGGCGTCTTTTTAGGTCTAAGATTTCTAAATTTGAGGTTGTGAATCTTTAAGCAGTTGGAAAAATCCATAGAATTCCGAAAAAGGAGGGGGAAATGAGTGAAACGCTTGTTTTAAGAACCACTGAAGTTCTGGAAGTGTCTGTAATTCTTCAAAGAAATTGTGGTAAAATCATAATTACATGTATTGTAATTGTTTGCTATATTCAATATAAAATCGTTGCATTCA